CCTTACCTAGGCTGCCATCAGAAGGTATGGCCCAGATTAAAGATGGATCTTCCCACCTCAAAAGATCCAGATTAAAAGTGGGTCTTTCCACTTAAAATGGTTTAAGAACAAATCCCTCACAGGTATACCTAGAAGTTTAGTTTTAGTTAATTCCAGATGTAGTCAAGTTGACAACCAAGAATAGCTCCCACAAATCATCCCTTGGCAACTTGACATACAATCATATCTCCTTACACTATGCTTAATTTCCAAGTGAAAATAACCAGGTGATATTACACCAACATGATATAACTATCACACGTATAACTGTAAATGCATTATATATTTAACCAGGTCATAATTACATGTAACATAATATTACTATCTCTTGTACAACCACAAGCCCATTATAAATTTTAGAATGGATGGCAATGTCCCTTGGATGACATTCCATTAGTATCTCAAAACTTAAATAAGATAACTACAAATATTCTCTTAGTTGATGTTATATTACATGATAAAGAAACTGAGGAAAGAAACACATTCTTAACAAAATATGACAGAAACAGTCATGTCAATTATAGTCCTTGTTACTGCAACTGGTTACGTGACCATAGCTGGTATTTATAACTACCTTCCTCTACTACACATCCTGTATTTCTTCAAAGTAGAAAAAGGCAATATTTAAAAGCAGGTGGGAGTACATATCCTACTGAAGGTAGAGAGACTATTCTCTCAGCTGACATAAACCCTTCAGAATCTGAGGGTCCTCCCACACATCTCCACCCCAATTTAGGATCTGAATCTTTGGTAATTAATGCTCTTATTTGAAGCACTGATGCCCTCTGGGGATGGGATTTGATTTTTTTTAAATCCAGACATGCTGGGAGCAACCAACCGCCATCATCATTTTCCTTACTTTTCTACAAATTGTCAAAAGTTTTACATAGTCACCAAATTTCTTGCCTTCTACAACTGGTGAATCAGCATAACCAAATGCATTTATCTCCTTAAGTTTGTGAAACAGTTCACACCACGGGCTTTCAATACACCCTGAGTTTCTTAGAAGAGGCTTCAGTAGGTGTTAGCAAATGGGAAAGCCTATTCCAGATACTTAAAACATTTCATCCTTATGTTTCTATTACTCTAGAACCACTTCTGGTATGACAATATGTGTTAGTCAGGGTTTTCTAGAGGAACAGAACTTATAAAATGAAAAAAATATATAAAGGGGATTTATTAGAATGGCTTACAGGCTGTGGTCCAGCAAGTCCAACAAAGGCTGTCTACCAACAAAAGACCCAAGAATCCAGTAATACTCAAAAATGTCAATCACAAATAGCCATCACATATGGGAAAATTCAACATTATGAAATATATCAGATTAAGAAGGACAACAATAATAAAAGGCCTTAGTTGATACACTGGCCATTCTACATACATTTTAGTAGAATGTTGACTATGACAGCCAGCAAGGAAATATTTTAAGAGATAAAGCAGAAATGGGTTAAATGAATAACAAATTTGAAAAATTGAGAAAAACACAAGACATACAGAATGGTGACTGGAAATGGCCAAGAAGCTTGAAGGTTTACTCACTGCAGATGAACTTACTACTGCCACCCTAACTGCCCATCTGCCCAGCCTGGAATCTACTCATTTCTCTTCCCCTTGTGCAGTCTACATAGAAATGCATTTGAATCACTAAGTTTTTTCTTCTTTACCCTCTTAGTTACTCCTTTAAGCACATTTTATTGAAAAAATTTATCTTTCTTGTACAAAAAATCAAGACTATCAACATCTAAAGATGCGCTCATCTCAAACAGATTTTAAATCAATTTTCTAGTAATTGCAATGGGTCCACATTACTGTGCACTATTTTACCTAGTATCTCTTATGACTAGTGGTATATGTTTGTTTTCACTTGGCAGGCCAGAGTTTAGTCAGTGTTGGTAACATAGCAGTGTGGTCGTCACAGGCTCTAGTGCCAGGCTATAGTTAGAATCTTGTCATTTGCTGGCTATGTGATGTTGGTTAGTTTTCTGTTTCTATCACCTATAAATGGGGCACGTAGTGAAATTAGCTTTTAAGTAGAATAAATGTTTAAGTTAGGGTTTAGCTCACAGCAACTGCTCAAAACAAAACAAAACAAAACAAAAGCTGTAATTCTGTAGACGTAGAAGTAAGAGCAAAGTTATAGTGGTTCACGTTGGAATCAATTACCACATTCTTGAATACCTATTCAGCTTCATGAAGAAACTCTTTGAAACCTCAGAGGTTTCTTCAGTGGTATGCTAATGGCAAGTGAGTTAGGGAAGAACTACTTTACCATGCCAGATCCTAAAATGAGCATCTGAGGATGGTACAAGAAAGTACTGGTGAACAATTCATTTCAGATTGAAGGAAAACATTGACTCTATAGGATAAAAGTCTAATGAATGATACTGATAGTTAAGAGCTCTAACTAATGTAACACAGATTGATTAATGCTTGGTGAATCAAGACTAAAAAAGACTTCTATGTACTTCTGCAAAGATTCCACAGCTTTTTCTATTATATGTTATAATACTCGGCCTTTTCTATACATGTGCTAAATCAGTTTTCGTAACTCACTTAAATTTTTTATTGTTTTTAATTATGTGTATATGTCTATGTATACCTGTGTGCAGATGCCTGTGGTGGTCAGCTATGTTGGATCCCCGTGGAGCTGGAGTTCCAGGAAGTTAGAAGCTAGAAGCCACTCAACATGGGTGTTGGAACTGAACTCAATGGTTCTCTGAAAGAACAATCTACAATCTAACTCTCCAGTCCTAGTCACGTCTCCAGTCCTAGTTACCTTTTTCTTTTTTTTTCCTCTTTCTTTCTTTCTTCCCCCCCCCCTTTTTTTTTTTTTTTGAGACTGGTCTCACTATATTCAAGGCTGGCTTTGAACTTGCTATACAGACTAGGCTGGCCATTGAGTGCTATGATTAAACATGTGCATCACCAATAATAGCTCCAATAATTCATTTTTAAAGAACAACCCTTTTTCATATTCACACCAGTGTAACATTAATCTTCCCAATCATATTATTTTCTTTTCTTTGGACTTCTTTCAGAAGTTCTTAGGTAGGAGACTGAAGTAATCTGGTTCATATTGTTGTGGATATAAATGCTAAAAAGGCAGGTGCTCCACAAAATTGTATGACAAGAGTGGGCATGCATAAGTACACACACGCAGACATCCAGCTTCTCTGACATGTACTCATCCTATGCAACTTTTGAATACAAGGTAGCACTGACCTACACAGAAATCCTGTTATCTAGAGAAGGAAAGGCACACTTCAAGCAATTGGGGATGGAGAGATGGCTCAGTGGTTTAGCATGTTAGAGCAGAGTTAGGGATGGTAATCTATATTTAACAGGGAAGGAAGCAAACAGAAAGGAGGATAAGAAAATAAATAATAATGAAAAGAACTGGTCTGAGAGAGTTAATCAAAGAAACTAAGATGATCCTTTTTAGGACAGTCACAATGTAAAATTGTTTTCTTGGAGATTGCATCATAATCTACTTATGTGTCTTCTGAGTAAGATTAATGGAATCATTTTAAGTGTGAAGATTAATGCTGCGAAGCAAAAGTTTTTCAACTCCAAGGCCACTGTCTAATCAAATGGCCAAACATAAAATATAATAATAGTAGATGGTTTTCTTGCTCTTTATTAGGTGAGAATTCTAAGAACGTTCCTCATATCTGGAGGTCTAGTAACACTGCTAGAATAAAGAATAATTACTCATCTGAAAGAACACTATATTTTTGATGTACACGATCTGGTGTGTTATTTTAAAACCAATCTTATTACTTTACACAATATCCTGTTATGCTAAAAACCTTAGAGGTAAAATATAGGGCCTGGTGAAAATGAGTGTAATAACGTATCTTTGTTGTTAGATGACTGATGGCGTGTACCAGAATTCAGAATGAGGAATCAGAGGTCAGGTTATTTGACAAATTAGCACTGTGGATACTGAAGATATGCAAACGGAAGGAAACAGATGGAAGGAGCTGCAGAGGCCATCTGAGAAGGTCAGTCCAGACTGACCATGTACTCAGGGAGTTTGAGAGCAGTATTGTTAACGGGCCAAAAAGGATGATATTCTTTGTAAGGACTTGTAATTTTTTTTTTTTTTCCCATAGCACCTTTGTCTATGTGGTTGGTGCCAAAGCTTTTCAAACAGTGAAAATACTTTTCAAACCAGTGTACAGTGGGAAGGTGAAACAGAGTCAGAAATCACCTTGAGGTACAAATGTCTATGCTCAAGAATAGCCAGCTGAATCTCCACTCACCTTTTCTTTGCACCACTCCCACCATTATCACTAATGCATCCACTCCTTTGTTGACACAGATACCGAGACTGGGGGAGGTGAAGGATGTGTACAGATGCTGAGGGACTCAATGGAGTCAATAAAGGTGCTAAATGAAGAGAAATACTACAGTGCTGTTAACAATATAGCATTGAGTTTGTAGAAGAATATGGATTTCTATCCTTTAAGAGTATTAGAATAATATGTTAAATGTCTAACAATTTCCTTCTAACTAGTGTATCAGAAGTTTAAATACAAATCTTACATTGAGGTTGCCTTGGATTCAAGCAGCATTTTAGATTAACATTTAGAGGAGTACCTTCAGAAAGGGACCATAGGAAATGGGAAGAAGCTTAGAGAAGTGACCCTTCTCAACCTTACAACTACTCTTGGGAAAGACAAAATATAGTGTTTTAAGTCACAACAAGCAATTTGCTGTTATTTTAAAGTTCTGAAGAATATATTAAGCTGCTGGGGCTGTTTCACTACATGCCTTCAAAGACAGTCAAGCTGATCAATTAGTATCAGGGATTGGGCTCAAACTACTGAAGTGCTATTCTTAGCTTTGTCATCACTACAGATTTTGCCTTTCATTAGACTTTTCCATTAGACTTTTCCACTACAACAGGGTTCCTCTACTGCTGAATAATGCTCAAATGACAAACAAAGCTTTTCCTAAACTCCTGCGGTTTCAGGCTTCTCTCCAGTGTGGATTCTCTGATGTCGAATGAGGCTCGATCTCTGAATGAAGGCTTTCCCACACTCATTGCATTGATAGGGCTTCTCCCCTGTATGTATTCTTAGATGCTGAATAAGACCAGTGTTCCCATTGAAAGCTTTCCCACATTCTTTACACTTATATGGTCTTTCCCCAGTATGGATTCTCTGATGTTCAATAAGGCCTGATTTCTGACTGAAGGCCCTTCCACATTCATTGCATTTGTAGGGTTTCTCCCCAGTGTGGCTTCTTTGATGGCCAATAAGATGTGAACTGCGCCTGAAGGTTTTCCCACACTCATCACACTCATAGGGTTTCTCCCCAGTGTGAATTCTCTGATGTCCAATGAGGTGTGAACTATGACTAAAAGCTTTTCCACATTCATTACATTCATACGGTCTCTCTCCACTGTGGATTCTCTGGTGCAAAATAAGGCCTGCACTCTGACTAAAGGCTTTCCCACACTGATTACACTGATAGGGCTTCTCCCCAGTGTGGATTCTCTGGTGCAGGATTAGACCTGTGTTCTGACTGAAGGCCTTACCACATTCCTTGCAATGATAGCGCTTTACTTTGTTGTGGATATCCTGATGGGAAAGAAGGGCTGACCTGTAACTGAAGGCTTTACTACACACATTACACTGATATGGTTTCTCTCCAGTATGTATTCTCCAGTGTCGAACAAGGCCAGAGTTCTGAGCAAAGCTTTTCCCACATTCATCACATTTATGCCGTCTCTCTTGTGTGGGAGTTCCCTGCTGCCTCTCTAATCTGCCCAGAAGGTCTCGGGTTTCTCCATGTGCAAGACCCACAATAACATCCCCGTTGCACTTAGCAGCTGTTTGTCCATGTGGCTGGATTCCAGAAGATATTACCTGTTTTGAAAATAATTCCTTGTTCTCACTCCTGGTCTCACCATCTGAAATAAACATGTAGTAAACAATCATTCTCAAAGTCACTTTCTATTTTCTATACTAGAAGAAAGGGGGAAATGAAGTTCTCATGGAAACTGTAAGCGAATACAAGATCCTCTACCCAAAATAGGGAGAGATACATATGCAGGTTGATCAAGCAGAAGTACCAAATGCCAACTTGGAAAGAGGTGCCAGGAAAAAGCAGTTTCCTGATAGATGAGTAAAATTGGAAAGGGATTAATTGAGAAGTGTAAGCTGGGAAGTAGGAAGAGAGAAAGAATTACAAGACCTACTGAGTGGATAGACTATGCCAAGCAGTCCTGAAAGGGGTGTAAGTATATAACTGGCTCATATGACAGAAACACTCTAATATGATGGCCCACGAGGAACTGGAAGAAAAGTGTGATGTCAGGGAGTACTACAGAGATGTCAATTTCTAAGTGGCAAATAGAACAGTACACACTATACAGATACAAACTCTAAGGAATTCTGAGTTGGAGAACAAAATGTTTCATTTCAGACCTCAGGAATCTTAATCTAATATTTGTTTTTTGAATTCTGAGTTTCATTTTTTAAGGAATTATTTAAAAAATTGTAAAGCAAATGTATGTCTATGTGTGTCACATGTGTAAAGTGTCTGCAAAGGCCAGAAAAAGGCATCATAGTCCCTACAGTTGGAGTTACTGGTGGTTATAAGGTACCTGATGTGGATGCTGGGAAATGAACTCCAGTCCTCCAGAAAAGCAGGAAGCACTCTTAACCACTGAGCCATCTCTTCAGCCCTGAGTCTTGAGTTTAAGTTCAACTAAATCCTCTAGAAATCTTATAAAGCTACCAGAAACACAACAAAGAGAAAATTCTTAAATTATAATAACTACAGCTCTCCTTACCCAGGGAGAACATGTTTCTGTATTTCTCAGGCCTGTTATTTCTATTCAGATCCTTCTGTGATGGATCAAGAAGCCACTCCTCTCGAATAAGAGACACAGCCATGTCTTCAATCTTTTCCAAAGTCTGAAACAAAAGAAGACCCTCATTTGGGGCCTAGAAAGGTTCCATAGCTCAAAACTACTGTTTAAGTAACTACAATGTCAGAAGAGGTGAAGAAGCAGGAATGGGCTATGCAAAGGGATGTGAAGAGCTGGGCAGAAGAGGAAAGTGCAATAGATTTATTGGGGAAAACCAAAGATTGGTTTGTTATTAAGCAAAAAGGATTCTGAGAACGTTCTTAAACAGATACTACTACAGACAGATACGGGCATCTTCCACAATATTGTCAGAGACATGGGCTTTTAGTGAGAATGAGCACAACTCACCTGGAACCCTGCAGTGAGAAGTCTAGCTGTCACCTCCTGATCTCCAGAACTTCCTTTCTGGGAAGGAGTAGGACTCTGAGTAGTAGACATGGCTGAGAGGAGAAAGGAGCTATGAATGGACTAGTCTTATTTTATGGTTGTGGGAGCCAGTATTCACTTATCCAAAATTACTTTTATTTCAGCATATACATGCCATGAATTTTGCACATAAAGTGCTGACATCTTGGACTCTAGCCCATGTCTATGGATGCCCATAGAGCATCTGTACTTTAATGTACCTGAACTTACATAGTCAAATAAAACTGATTTCCTAACAGGAGCTGATTTCTAATTTCTTCTCTACCAAAGTCCTATCTTTGTGTTTGTATGTAGCATTCCTTTAGATCCTGAAGTCCGAGAAAACTGAATATGAGAACTGACCAATTTGTTACCTTTCTGCTATCTACTATGACTGCCAGTGTCTGTTTTTCATGGGTAGTGAGCATCTTCTCACCAAAAACAACTTCATAGTTAAGCAACATGTCTTGGACAACAAGATTTAGGACTTCAGACAAGAATTATATAGTTAACTAAATAAAGTGTTTCTATGCTACTTATTTAGAAACAATAAAAATTCTTAGGCTTTTGACTAAGATCAAGTGCAGGAATATTAAAAATTCACTTATATGTTGTGGGATGGCAAATGCCGGTAGCCACAGCCCTTATGGTATAGGCAGGAGGGCCACCAAAAACTTGAGGCCAGGCTCATCTACCTAGTGAGTTCTAGGCCAGGCAAGACTACACAAAGAACTGGTTTCATAATGTAAAGAATATTCACTTATAGCAAACAAAGCATTATAAATCCTATAAATGGGAAAAAATCCTAAAACAATAAAGACAAATAAGCTAGAATATGCTGTTTTGTAAAAAATAAGGTAATTCTCAAAAAGTGATAGGAAAATACCAAAAAAAACCCACAAAACAAACAAACAAAAACAAAAACCAAACAACAAAGAAAAACAGATTTAAGGGGCGTCATCTAGCCAAATATGATCTAAGCACAGTTAACACAATGTTTCTGGAACAAAGAATTTATGTTTGTGGGTAAATAATAGCAACAAAATGGAAGGGTTGAGGACATAGCTCAATTCGAAGAGTGCTTGCCTTGGATGAATAAGGCCCTGAGTTAGTATTTAGCACTGCCTAAAACAACACACACACACACACACACATACACACACATACACACTCACAGGGCTAGAATAATGGCTCAGTGGTAAAGTGCTTGCTGTGGAAGTAAGAGGACATAAGTTCAGAGTCCCATCACCTACATAAAAGTCCTATGTCTCGAGCCCCAGTGTTGGGGGTTGGAAAAGAACAGAGACAGGTAGATACTTAGGGTTGGTAGGTCAGGTAGTCTAGCTGAAACATGGTAGACCTACGTGTTCAAGGAAAGATTCCATCTCACAAAAAAATAAAGTAGAGGGGCCAGAGAGAGCTTGAGGGGTAAAAGTACTTTCCATATAAGCCTAATGGCTCAAGTTCAATTCCTGGAACCTATGGTGGATAGACAACAGCAACTCTTGAAGAAAGTTGTTCTCTGACCTCCAGGTGTATGTCTGAGTACACACACTAGTAAAAATAATACAAGTAAGGTAGGGAGAAACAGAAGACACCCAACATGTCTCCACATGAGCATCCAGGGGTAAGCTAGAAGGGAAAAAAGTAATGTTTTCTCTTAAGATTAACAATGTAACAGCATAGAAGTAATGGCCAAGAAATTGCTGGTTTAGTAATAATCTCTGACTCAGTTAAGAAGCATCAACAAAGGGAAAAAAAATTAAACCTCCTGTTTTAGTAACACGTATGATAAAGATATTTACACACCTCCATGGGAATTTCCTCCTAGATTACTTAATTATAAAGGGAAGAATAGTAACTTTACAGTGATTAGTCTAGCAAGATTAGTCTTAAGTCATCAACGATAACATCACAATAGGTCAATTTCTGGAGTGTTCTTGCCAAATATATACAAGTTGAACCTAAATATGAGAAACTATCAAACAAACCTAATCTATAACCATTCTAATTCTAATCTATGTACTTCAAAACTGTTAAAGTCATGAAAAGAAAGACTAAGAAATAATGCCCAAAGTGCCAAATTAAAGGAGATTGAAGAGATTTATGACTAAATGCATGATCGTCATAGGGTGGGCTCTGGACCAGAAAAACAAAACAAAACAGACAACTAGCAAAACATGAGTATGAGCTATGGATTGGATCAGTACCACACCAGCACCACAATTTCTAACTATGTCATCTTACTGTGGTTATTGGAAATGTTCTCATTAAAAGAAAGACATGCTGTTATGACATTAGAAATATATAAAAAAGATGTCTGCTGTAAATGTACTGGAGTAACAAAGTTCTCTGTTTATAAGTTTACCATTAGAACTGATTGTCTACTGTCTTCTGGGCATGATATGGCCATTGTTCCCCTGAACCCTCAGCTGCTTGGCTGGATGCATAAGACCCATTAACTTTTGCCACACAGTGAGGAAGGATCACAAGCTCCCTCCCCCCAATACCATGTAGGGGAATTAAGTAGTGCTAAGAGCTTTTTTCAGTAGTGTAGCTGCTGCTAAGCTACTCATGTTCCTATTTAAAAAAAAAAAAAAAAAAAAAAAAATCCTTTATCCTATCCCTAATTAAACTCATTGGTTCACAAGTTAGTCTTCAATAAAGTTGTTTCTTTGTTGTTTCCTTCGTGCCCAACCTGGGGTGAACAGATGTTTATCTCTACAGGAAAAGTTCATAGACTACTTCTATGAACATTTAAAAGCAGAAGATTGGGTCTACTCAAACACAGATGCTAGTTCCTGAATGAGACAGGTACTCCAAATGTAAGTCTCTTTTCTTTCTACTTTCCTTACCCTTATAAGTGAAATCTGGTCTTTCTCCTCTGTCCTGTGGCTTCTGGGGCACTGGAGATTTATGTTTGATTGCCATTGGTTGGAGTTGAGTGCTTTGAGGTTCTGGTGCAGCTTCTGAAGAAATGACTTCTTCCCAGAGTACTCTGTGCCCATGTGTACGAGCTGAGACCTAGAAACAATGGGACAACTGATTTACAAAGAATTCCACTGGAGAGATGAAGTAGTAATAGAGTCAATTGGCCTTTGATGGGTTTTTGTATTTGGGAAAGCATGCAGTATAATCTCATTTACTTTCTAGGGCAACAAGAAACACTACATTAGCAAGAGAAGGGACTTTTTTTCTACTCAGTACTAAAGAAAGGACTTCTGTTGATGTTTCTCTACTACATCAAACACCGATATCTGTGCTACAACTCTAGGACAGAAAATAACAAGAGAATGAATAATGAAGAAAACTAAAACAGGGCCATACAATACCAGAACACTCTTTTGACAAGGAACTAGGAAGCCTATAACCTGGTAAGCAGGCATCTTTTAACTATTCAGGCAAGGCAAGAAGACAAAGAGAACAGTTTAGCAAGTTGGGCTTTAATTGTTTTGTCACAGCACCTTCCCCTACCACACACAGCAATGCACCTAGCACCTAGGACTCACACTTGCATTACATTTCTCTCCCCTTAATAACCATGAAACCAAGACAGCTTGTACCCAGTCATATCTGAGTAAAGAAGGTAGGGGGCCAAGGTTGATGTTGGGTGCATGAGCAAAGAACCATGCTTATTATGCCTGCTAGCAAACTATTTTTTTTTTTCTCTCAAACTTCATAAAAAGAAGCTCCAAATAACTGGGGCCCTTGAATACTCTCACTCAAGCGACCTGTCATTATTGAATGTCTTTCTTGCTTTGTACTATTGTTCTACCACTGAATAAAGTTTCCTTGCTACTTGTACAATTTGCATGGGTTCTTTATTTGAATTCCTTATATAAGAGGTCAAAAATGTGAAACATCTGACCTAAACCCTGACCACTAGTATACTCCATGGGTACTACAGAAGAAAAATAATGTAAGTTCCTTGTATATCATGGTTCCATTTAGCAAGCAAGGGCAATAATACATACAACTGTAGGGATCTTAGGATAAAAAATGGATTCTATCATTTACAAAACTACAAGTGCAACACATAGCACATGAAATAATTTTCATCCACATTTAACAGAAACCAATACACAGAATTTATTCCTCAAAGTGAAGCCAATGTCTTCTTACCCAGCTTCTAGGAATTCACAGTCACGGCATGCACAGTTACTTACTGGCTGTCCTAGGATATTAATCTGCCTTTCCAAGTCCTCCAACAGGGTCACCACCTCCTCTCCATTTTCTAATTGGTGTTCTTTAACCAGAGTCTGCAGCTCCCCTGGCAGGATGGTCAGGAACTGCTCCAGCACCAGCAGCTCCAGGATCTGTTCCTTGCTGTTCAAGTCTGGCCGTAGCCACTGATGGCAAAGTGCACGGAGCTGTATCAGAGCTTCCCGGGGTCCTAATGTCTCCTGGTAGCATAACTGCCTGAAGCGCAGGCGGAACAGTTCTTGGCCAGGTATATTATTTTCATGCACACTAGATTCCTCATCCCAACCATGATCCTCCTCTATCTTGACAATGACAAGATCCTCTTCAGGAGCCTGATCTGGTGGAGATGGGGCTGAAGGCTTTCTTGATTCTGCAGCCATTTAGGGCCAGAAAAGCTTAAAAGGCCCTTTCCTTTACCTTCTATACCTTCTTAAAAGTCTTCAGTGGACCTCCAGGGCACTTCTTCCAGAACAGAAAATGATAAATATGTTAAGGTATGGCAAAAGTTTTAGTAACTTACCCAGATACCTCAATAAGGTCTCCTAAACAATTTTCCATGACAAACACACCCAGGGTACAAATCCTTCCTTTTGGCTTCTTGTTTAGGATTGTGGAGGATAGAGATTCAACCTAACTGAAATTCTGTACTTAATACCAGGCAATTCTCAGTATCACTCACTAAACTACTCGTAGCACCTTGTACACCTCCCACTCTCAACTTTTTTTTTTTTTTTTTTTTTTGTATCTCAGATCTCAACCTTGTTCTTATTAACAGATGAGGTAAGTTTCTCTACCCTCTACTTCAAGAACCTTTTAACTCTTTCTCTTTATTACCTAAGACTCAGCATCCTACTATCGCTCCCTATCTTCTCCTTCCCTACACCTGCCTGGTTTCAGGGCTAACTCTTGGACTCCACCTCTTAAAAATCTATTTGAAACACTGGATCTGCAAAGAACCAGGATATCATATTAACATCTACAATGGCCAAATCTAAACTCACATACCAATGACCTTCCAGAATGTTACAGAAATAAAATATAGTAGTGTTTGAGTTTGACATCTTTCACTTAGCACAAGACACCTGATATTAATTAATCAATGTTGTGTCTGTTTATTCTTACATAAATGAGAATTTATCTATTCCCCACCAGTTGTTTCCTATGATTATGTGCACACATATTCTTCTTGTATGCAGTTTTAATTCACTGGGGTAACTTATTTTCTTAGTAATATCGTTGAACACATGTATATTTTGATGAAGTGTCTATTTAAAAATTTTGGCTCACCTTGCTTTTTTTGTTAGTCTCATTCTATAACCAAAGAGCAGCAAACCTGTGATTTTCCCACCTCAACTTCCTAAGTGCTGGGACTTGATTTATGTATTTATTTAACTTGTTTCGACTATAGACAGGGTTTTATCGTAGCCTAGTCTAGCCTGGAACCTAATGTGTAGCCCAAACTGATCTTTAAGTTGTGATCCTCTTGCCTCTATCTCTCAAATATTAGGATTACACGCATGTGTCATCATGCTTTACCCAGTACTATTTTGTAATTGAGGTTTTATATTGTTTGTAAGATTTGAGAACTCCTTACATATTCTGGATACAAGAGATATGTGATCTAGAAATATTGACTCCCTTCTATTTTTAAAATAATGGCCTTTGAAGAAATTTATACTTTTTTTGGAGCACAAGTTATCAAAGTTCTTAAGAATTGTACTTTTGAGCTGGGCATTGGTGGCAGAGGCAGGCGGATCTCTGAGAGTTCGAAGCCAGCCTGGTTTACAGAGCTTGTTCCAGGACAGGCTCCAAAGAAATGCCTGCTTAACCTCAAATCACAAAGATTTTCTTCTAAAGGTTTATAGTTTTAGGTTTTACTTTTAAGTTCTATGGTTGCTGGGAGCCTTGTGACTTCTTTGGGGGACAAGGCCTGAGAATAGCATGAACAATTTCTCCTTTTGGCAAGGCTTGGTAGAATTTAACCCATTTTTGGCAAGGCCAATGGATAGTTTGCTGTATAATTCTGGGAATGACCTCAGGAGCATATGTGCTACTTGCTCTCCTCGCTTTCCTTACACTAATCATATTGCTGGCTACTCCAGTTCCACTTTCTTAAAGGCATAAATGAAATGGCTATTCCATTAGGAAAACTTTCCCCTAATGACTCTCCTCTTGGTAAGCCAAAGGAGATGTTAAAAATATACAGTGGATCTGTTTCAGTTTCCAAAGCCTTTGATGTTTCAGGTGTGACCAAGAACAGGATGTTGCCTTTCCAATGCACTGGCCTGAGTCAGACAAGTTCTTGACAATATTACAAATTTGCTTAATTGTCCTGAGAGAAAGATTCTAACTACAAGAGTCTAAGAGTAATGTAAATGAATAGATGATATCAAGAGTTAATGGGAAAAGTTTAAGAACAGGGAATGAAGCAGACTCACAGAAACCCACAATGCCCTCATTTCTATAACTGTACCAATACTGTAGGAGACAACACTGTAGGAAGCTGAGAGGAAGGGGACATGAGAACAAGAGATAAGCAATGTCAACTACTAAGAGTAAGCTTTTAAGTTATGTAGTTTATAGGATGATCTGTGATAGAGTAATAGAGAATGAAGAATGAAGTGATTCAGCCTTGGTTGATAAGTTGATTGTGAGAGTTTAGACTTGATTAGAGGCAAACATTAACCCTAGAAGCTAAAATTCCCTTTCACTTTGCATGATGATGTAACTGCAAATGCTGCCAACTGGGTACACTGTCCTACCTGTAGGTGTGTCTAGTTAGAAAAATTCCTTTGTTGCTTGTTACACTGCCTATGCTTTTAACATTAGAGCTATGAACTAAGTAGATAATGGTTACCAGGGGGAACACTGGGGGATGGAAGAAGAATGAGACAAGGAAACAAATCTGCAATTATAATAATTATTATTGGAAACTTAAGGAAGCAAATATGATTGTAAAACTATTCATGCAAACTATTGAAATTGTACAAATAAAAAAGCTTACATTACTGGGGGCCACTTGTTTGAAATGGAGATTTCTTCCTTTACCAATAAGCTTTTTTCCCCCTCAATATTAAAGCCAGAGCTGAGTAAAAAATTAGACCTCTTATCCTCCTCTATAATAATTTTGTGCATACAAACTGCAATGTTGGTAAGCACCTATAGACAAAAACTGACCCTTCCATATTATCCTTAAAGAACAACCTGTCAGGTTTATCAACTTGAGAATGTAAAAGGCAACAATCTTATGCTTCTTCTGGATCTAAAATGTTCAAGTCTTCACAACAAAGAAAGGACAACTTAACAAATAATACTGGCTTTTTAATAGGTGTAGGAGAAGTACTTTCCCATCAGATTAGGTTGAACTTGAGAAACATCTTGTTACTGAGTGCAAACCAGGAAAGACAATCTCCAGGCTTTAGATATCAAGGAAAAGTAAAAGAAACAAACACTATGCTTTGTAGTTATCTCAGATTGCATCCACTGAATATTTATCTTTTGGAGATTTCTAAAGTTATTTTAATAGAGGTTTAAGCATGGGAGTTAAGAGAAATGGCACTTAGGAGAGGGCCAGAAACAAGTGTGGGCATGAGCTCCTCAAAGGCCGCTGCTTTGATGAATGCTTTTAAGGTTCACCATATTCTTATATCTAACCACAAGAGGAACTCAAAACGTCTCCTTCACTAAAATAGTGACTGTTGCATAACTACACTTCATTGAATTTGTCAAACACAAAGTATGTTGTCAAGTGGTGGTCAACATCTTACAAGTCTGACAAAGATTACAAAGACTTTTTTAGAAATGAGAAGTTTCAAGCATCTCGTTCAGTTAGCTTTAATAAATTAAGTAAGCAGAGTATTCTGAATTCGGTTTAATTTTGTTACCCCGGAATTACTGTATTTCTTTCTTTTACACACAACTGCCCAGTTATCACATCAACCATTTGCTGAGCAGGAAAAAAAAAAGTAACAAAATAAATAAACGGTTTCCATGAGAAACAGAAGCTTTAAAAGAAAGCGGTATCTTTAAAAAATGAATTTTGAGAACGAAAGGCAGAAAATTGCTGAGTTGATACACGGGCCGGCTTTGCAGGGAAGAGCGTCTGCACTGCAGCACACGGCTGGCGACTGGCGATGAAAGGAGGGTGGACCCCGTAGGAAGTTGGGGCCGGTGTCGGCCTGCTCAGCGGGCGCAGGCCCTCTGCCGACCCGCTCCCCGCGCGCCCCTGCTCGGCCGAGCGCACTCACCGAGAGCTCCGCACGCTGCCCGAGGGCGGAAGGCGGCACAGCGCGGACCGGGAAGAGCGCGAGGAGACGCGACGGACACCGAACCCAGGCGGGACCCCTCCAGCCGTTAACTTCTAAACCCTCGGAGCCGCAGAACCGGCCAGCACGCATCTTGCCCCCACAGCCACTTCCGGAAGCTCTCTAGGAAGCCCGGAGGTCTTACAGCTCTATGGTCGGTCCGCGAAGGGCTGGAGCGCCGCGCCTCCTGGCTGTCAGAAGCTCCAGGTGGATGGCTTTGCTGTTGGGACTGTGGACATCCCGACGAGTATCAATACCTTTATGTCACCCAAGCTTTTGCCTGGCCAGTCTCGGGCTTTAACTGGCAAAGGTAAGGATTGGGTGGCTGATCGCAGATCTTGGCTGGGCTCAGGAGGGCGCTTACTATGCCTAACGAATTTCTCTTTACTCCTCTCAGATCACCTGTGCTTAGATTCCTGTTAATGCTCATGAATTACTCCCAACATTCATTTCAAATTAAAGAATATAAGCCTTTACAGTACCTGAAAAGAGTAGTACATCTTACATTATAGAGTTCACAGTGACCACTGCTTTCCCCTTGACTGATACTCTTACCATTGGAAACGACAAAAGTTCCACAAAATTACCACACCCCGTCTTAAGGTCTAAAGAGGATATTTAGGCTATTAATAATGGTGGGAAACAATCAACAGTGATTTACTTTTTACTTTCAAAATTGACTTTTTATCTATTTTAAGTTGTCAAAACAGAGCTGGTGGGTCTCAGATATCATCTGGGGGAAATGAAGCAGAAGAAATTTTAGTGTTTTGCCCAGTGTCATGTATTGAATGGCCAAGCGAAAACCTAGAACAGATGGTAGAACTCAAGGCCAACCAGGAATCCGCAAGCTTGGGACACAAATGAACAATGAAAAGGCTTGTCTTTCTTTCCTTCTTTCCTTCCTTCCTTCCTTCCTTCCTTCCTTCCTTCCTCCCTTTCTTTTTTCTCCCTCCATTTTAAAGACAAAGTCTATTTGTAACCCTAGCTGGCCTCAAATTCAGGGAAAATCTCTTGCTTTACCTTCCTAAGTGTTGGGATTATAAACATAAGACAACACACTAGGTTAAAAGTTTTTTGAAGTAACAGTTGATACTTCTTTCAAAACTGAACTATATTAAAAGGGAATATTTTACTTATATTCTTTGGTTAGAATTTTTAAAAGATGACAAATTTTGCCCACATTAAGAATACTCATGGACTCTAAGGTACACTTTGATCAGTAATTAGGCCTGAGCATTAAGGAACTTTTGGTAATAGAACTTATTTACTATATGAATTCTCTAATGTTCAAGAGCTGAATTTACACACAGGTCTACCACACTTACTGCACCCATATGGTTTTCAGTTGTGTGGATTCTTTGATGTTGAATAATAGCTGGGTGCTCACAGAGATCTTTTCCACACTCCCTACATCTACAGGGCTTTGCTCCAGTGTATACTCTAGAATGTTCAACAAGATGTGATAATTGAATGAAGGCCCCCCCCCCCACATTTATTACATTAGTAGGGCTGCTCCCCAGTGTAACTTCTTCTCTGAGCTACTACTGAAAGTTCTGTCACATTCACCACATTTTTATTGTCTTCTTTCCCTCTGTCGTCATTTTGATCACCTTCCATTTTCAACAGCATCTTTGGATTCAGGGTGCTGAGAGCTATCTTTGCTAAGTCTGTTGATAACCCCAAGAAATTCTATATCTGTGGGCATATCTTCCTTCTGTAATGACTCTTCATTCTCAGAACTGGTTTTATCACCAGTAATAAAGAGTACACAAAAAGATACTATTCTAGGGTTGAGAAATAAAAAGTCTATGGAAGAAATAATGTATAAATATGAAATAATAAAAACAAAATATATTATCACATATTTGGTACTATTTTGGTTTTAGTAATATTCTAGCATACTGTCTCAATATTGAAAACAAATACCAAAAAGTTTGAAAGGGAAATAGAAGAAGAATAATTTATTTGAGAATTTGTTGAGAGGAAAAGGTTAAATATGGATCAAGGGATTATCTAGCAATACTGCATTGTGGGAAACGGAGAGAATGTAAATATGCCAAGTATATAGAGGGGCAGCAAGGCCAGAGGAAAATGAGACAGAGAGACTGCTGGACAGAGGACAATGGGGGACAGAAAGATCAAAGGATAATGAAACCAACTGTAGAAGAGAGGATAAAGATATAGAGTATCTTCAATGCTTTCCAGGATTGATCAATGTATTGATTTTATAATTGACAATACTAAGAATGCCACTTTGCATATAGTACAAAATAGAATAAGTATGGTTGGGGCCATTTCAGAAATTGTTGGGAATTCTGTCTTAATCACAAATAAAAATCCATTTAATGATTTTGTTTTTCTTTATAACACAGTTCCATTGTAGTTCAGGTTGGCTTCAAAGTATGTATTTGAAGATGGCCATGAACTCTTTATATCCTCCTGCCTCTACTCCTGAAATGTTGGGATTACAGGTGTGCCTCATCATGCCTGACCCACATAACAGTTTTTAAAAACATGACTCAAGTCAACAACTGAAACAGAAAGTTAAAAAATCAAACATTCTAACTTGATACAACCAAAGATATACAATACCATTGATTTGATACATGCTGAGGAACAATGGCAGGCAAATGTAAAAACATACTTTGTTTTCCATAATTAAATTATTTTTCTATGAAAACTTTGTATGTGTAGTAGAAATTCTGAGATCTATAAGATGCAATAGCATTATTTTTGAGATGAGGTGCAGTGTTTATTGTCATTGCATGGTTTGATGACATGCACAGTGCTCATGTTGTGTGTTCAGAAGCACATCTGCAGGGACATCATGTATTACACACAGGCAAATGCCAGAAATGTTTTGGATTTATTAGTTTACTGAGAGATCCACCCAGCCTCACTGTGACGCTGCGCACAAATGAGCATGGTCACAGGTGCATAGGTAGGCGTGTGGTATTTGGTCTGGGGTCTGGACAGGCTTGCTCTCTCTTGCTCCAGATCCAGTCAAGGAGGGCAGCCAGGTGTGGGTCCTCGGAGCAGGGACTTGGTGGCGGTCATCTGCATCGTGTGTAAGTGATTTCTCCCCAAATAAAATTATATTAATCTATATTTGACCCAGTCCTGTGAATCTTGTACTTTGCACCAGTTATTTATTTCACATTACCTGTTTGACTTTGAATTCTCACTTGTTACATGTTCACAAGTCTTTGGGTTATAACACTGAATCTTTTTGAATACAGACACTTGTACTTTTGTGGGGATTTTGATTTTTGAGACAGTGTGATACTCTGTGTTGTCCACACTGGCCCGCAACTCTTGATCTCTCTGCCTTATCTATTAGTATTCTACAATTGCACGTTTGGTTCACCATGCTCACCCCGTTTGTACTTTTATTAGTGCTAAGTCACTCATCATGAAATCCACTAGAAATATTCTTGTTTGCATGTACTTGTCAACTCAGAGTTACATATTTTTTTTTCTTTGACAACCCAGTAGTTGAAAAAAAAGTCCTAATTATGTCTTCTTCCCTTTTCAACTTTCTGCTACAAATATTATTCAATGCCTTCTATGCCAGATACTATTCTGAAAAGTAGAACTAGTTTTGAGCAGAACAATGTGTGCTTACTTTCATGGAATTTATAGTGTGTCTGTGTGTACTGGACATTATTTTATTACTGCACTTCTACCATAAGGAAGTATTACTGGGTCTAATCTTGTGATAGTCTCAGTATGGATTATCATAGTGTCTCTAATTTCAAGGTGGTAAACAGACATGCCATACCCAAAGGACAGAGTTCCTTAACCTTTTTGACACTCTTGCTAATTTCATGACTAAATTTCAATTCTATTTTAAAGGTGGATCACACATGTTGCATACTCTAAAGGCTTTCTCTGACTACCTTCTCCCCATTATATAACTTATTAGTATGTTTATTTTCTGCCTTTGGCACAGCTATTTCTATGAAAGCACTAATTGTATCTACTTTCCTCACTATTGCTACTCCTTACACAAAGTGATACACAAAATGATATATTATTTACTGAATGATGAGTGATTTAATATTTCTAGGAAATCCAGTGTCAACACTAATCACAATCCTTTTGCTGTTGAGAGTCCCAGAGTCACCCATAAATTGCGTTTCCCTGGGTTAAGGCTGGAGATATATTACATGCTTAGGTAGATATGGAGGCAGTGTTGTCTTAGAAAACCCTCCCAGAACATTAACCCAGGCTGAATCCCAAAACTGTAGGCTTATCTGGGCACCTGACTAACCAACAGTGCACATGGTCCCCAGGGAATTTTCCATAATGTACAGGACCCAGTTGCATGGTATAAAAATACCTGCAGTGGAAACAGGATAGAAGCTTATCCATGGAGAGAAAGCTAAATTGCAAACTTCAGTAGGCCGCCATAAAGTCCTTATTCTATTTCTGCTAGTTGTTTGTAAGCTCTTGATTTAATGATGTTACTTTTGCTTGTTCTTTAAATCATGGCACTCCCATCGTTTCTGCTGTATGTTGCAAACTCCTGATTTGAAAGTCATTTACTATTTTCTACTTGCTATTCATCCTTTTACTTTTGCTTGCTGTATCATTAATAAACTCATTCAATTGAAATTGCAAGACTGACTATCATAGATCATTGTATGTACATATAGAACATCTGGTTCTATGAATCTACTTGTAATATATGCAGAAACATTTCTTCAAGTAGGACTACTGGGTGGAGCATATAAGTACCAAACCTGTGTCTTATAGAATGTCTGTCTAATTTGTGATCTAATTGTTCAGGTTTAAGCAATAGTATTTAATACTCTCTTTAATGGTTGGCTTGAAAGATTTATTATTATTTTTAATTAAATAGGTATGCTAAATTATTATGATTACTAATGAAACTAGATATTTAAAAATATTTCTGGCTAGTGGGATGTGATGTGCATGTCTTTAGTCTCAGTACTGAGGAGACAGAGGTAGGCAGACCTCTGCGAGTTTGAGGCCAACATGATTTACATAGTTAGTTCCAGGTCAGCCAGGGCTATGTAGTAAGAGCCTGTCTCAAAATATTTATTTCCATTCTATATATTTCCATTACTATGGCATAATTGTTTGTATCTTTTGTTCATTTTTCTATTGGCTTCTTTAAACTTTTAACAATGAATAGTGTCAATATCTATTTCATTAATTCTTGTAACACAGGGTCTCATGTAACCTAAGTTGTTCACAGACTCACTCTGTAGCTCAGATGCTCCTGCCTCAGCCTCTCTAGTACTGAGATTACAGATAATAGTCACCATATATATAGACCAGGTTGGTCTTGAACTCACAGAGACCCTCCTGCCCCTGCCTCCTAAGTGCTGGGCTCCATGAGACCCTGGCCCTAGTTTTGCATTTTTATACAAGAGAATGATGTGTGCAACATCATCCAAAAATATATGGCACCCTAATATATAAAGCATATATAAAATGAAAATATATTTAAAAAGTATATATTTACATAAAATATATATTTATAAAGTACAAATATATAAATTAAATATAAAGCAACCTAAGGACTATCCAATCACCATTTTCACCAATCTCTTAGGTGGACTAAGATACAGGTTAGTTTATTCAACAACATTATTTTTAAATGCCATGTTCCTGCCTACACCTCTTGCCTACATGCTTAGAATATTCTTATCATTCCTATATAAAGTTGGCTACCATGAGTGCACATTATAGATATTATGTTTGTTGCTTTCATAGGTTTCTAACTCTTTCTGCCAATGTATAATATTTCCTTTTTGCCTTCTTGATGATTCAGATTAAGTGCTGTCTCTTGCAACTTCACCTGATTTCTTTGACCTCACCGATCTCTTCATCCTTTGACTTCATATTGTCCTTCCAGTATGAGCCTTTCATAACAGTGTCTTTATTTTTTAATGCCTTTTTATGCAGGACAATTTGGTTACAGAATGGAAAGGAGCCATTCTGTACCCCCTGTGGCATATACCCCTATTAATTTAGACTGTTCTCGTCCTTCCTTCCTTCCTTTTCTCCCTCCCTCCCTCCCTCCCTCCCTCCCTTTCTTCCTTCCTATTTTTTTTTTCTTTTGAGACAAGATATCATTATATAGCTTGATCTGGAACTCGATATATAGACAAGGCTGGCTTCATACCCTTAATGATCCTTCTGCCTCTGTCTCCTGAAATCTGGGATTACATGCGTGTACCACCACACCTGACAATTTAGGCTGTTTTAATGATACAGTCAAATGTTAATTTCATATTTTATTGTGACTTTTCAGGGCTTTAAGATCTACATATTTGTCTGTAGCAATAAAATATTATGGTGTTCAAATGGATAAGATCTGTGGTTATGTCAGTTTTAGAATTGTGTAGCAAATTGGGGTTGATGACAAGTTTCATTAAGTATTTAATGATAGCTTTTAAAGGACAATAAAAATAATGATGTCACCAGGCTTTCCTGCCCATTGAACTCCTCTTAGAGCAGTGTAAATCACTAGAAAAGCATCTTGCCTGGCCAAGAGTCTTTATAAAAGTCCCCTTCAGCTCACTGTTTCTTAAGCTGTAAATGAAAGGATTCAATACAGGGGCTACAACCATGAAAATCACTGAAGCCGCTGAATCTTTTTCATTTGAATGGTTGGATGAAGGGCTCATATAGATTCCTGCGATAGCACCATAGAAAAGAATAACCAAGGCAAGGTGAGATCCACAGGTTGAGAATGCCTTGAGTTTTCCTTGAATAGAATTAATTTTCATCACAGCAGAGACAATGCGACCATAGGATGCTAAGATACACACTGATGGTACCACAAAGATCAGTCCCACCACAAACAGAACCATCAATTGATTGAGACTGGTATCAGAACAGGAGAGAGGGAGGAGAGAATTGATGTCACAGAAGAAATGGTGGATGATGTTTTTAGAGCAGAAATGCAATTGGGCCATCAAGAGGGTATGCAAGAGAGGATTCAAAGTGGCAATGAGCCAAGACAAAGCTACCAGAGAGGTGCAGAGGCGTGGGGTCATAATTGTTGTATAGTGCAAAGGATGGCAGATGGCTACATAACGGTCATATGCCATCACAGTGAGAAGAAAATTGTCCATGTTAGCAAACATCATACAGAAATACATCTGAGCCAGGCATCCAGGGTAGGAGATGGATTGCGACTTGGTTTGGATGTTCAGTAGCATCTTGGGCACTGTAGCTGAAGGAAGGCAGAGGTCTACCAAGGACAAATTGGCAAGGAAAAAATACATAGGTGTGTGGAGATGATTGTTTGAGCCAATGGCTAGCAAGATCAGTAGATTTCCAAATAGTCCTGTTAAGTAGAGACAAAGGAAGAGTGCAAAGAGGAGCCCTTGCTGCCCTGGCCAACTCGAGAAGCCCAGAAGGAGAAACTCAGAGATGCTAGTTTGGTTTTCCATTTCCATGTGATGTACCCGTATGAAGAACTGTAGAGAGAATAAAGTTTCATTTGCTAAAACATGACTTCCCTTGGTATTTTTTTCTTTAAATATATACCCAGTCTTAGTGACCTTTACCAAATGGTCTTCTTTTTAGGCTGTTTTGTCTTTCCTCTGATGCTCTCTGCCAAACTTAAGTGAACAATGAGTGTGCCTTTCCACTTCATCTGTTGCCTTTATGCCTATCTTCTTTTGCTTTAAGCTCACATCATTAGAGATCTCTATAGGGCCTTCATCTTTACTGTTCAGTAGGCAGAGAGGTTCTTTCACTGCTAAATTTTTATTAGTGTGTATGAATTATACAAAGTAAGATGATTTATTATGACATTTCTATTCAAACCTGGTTTTCTTATACTCACTACATTACCCTATCTTCTCTTCCCCTCCACCCTCTGGAAATATCAAATTGTTCTCTTTTATACAACTATTTCTTCCCCCTAGACTCCTCTTATATATTCAGCATTGTGTGTGGATGCTTGACTCTCTTCTATGTTCAAACATATCCATAGGTCTGACATGATTAATAGCTCCTTGCCCAACACTGATATATGAGTGAGATTCTCTTCCCCAGACATTTGTCCATCACCATGACAACCAGTCAGATACCTCTCATTTAGACTATGTAAGCTGATGTTTAAAGTAGCCCATCTCCTTTTGATTCAAAATAAAAATAAATTCATTTTCCCAACAAATGTATTAAGTTAAGCCTCCAAACATTTTGCTTGAACTACAAACAAAAAAATTCAAGTAAGTCTAATACATGGCTATACAATGGGTATAAAGCTAAAGGAGAACATGGGTGTAAAAGTTTACTTTAAATTCTTTTATGTTTTAACTGTAACTGCAAATAAGGGGCTCATGGACACCAAATATCATCATAGTATTTCGTCAGTTACTGCATTTCTGGGAGTTGTAGAAAACAACATAGTAATGCAAGAGTTCTTCAATAAAGTCAATGGTATTAAGGTAACACTTCTATAGGGAGATGAACTACTATCAGAACAGATGAACTTTGAAAGAGCAGAGAGATTCTATAACATGGGCTTGTTTAGTCAGTGTTGAAATCAGATTCCACCACCTGTGGGCTCCAGTCACCTCTTGGTTCCATGCACCTGTGGGCCCCATCACCCGTGGGCTGCATTGTCCAATTTGATACTCATTGTCTCTGCCCTGTATGATTGCAATCTAGTTTCCTCAACTTTCCTACCTATAATCCTCCATCTGTGAGTACCACTTTAATCCCTCCTGGAGGATTATCTTTCAATATAAAAGGTTAATCCATTTTTTCTTCTTAAACTATTCTGATTTTTTACAATTAAATTTTCCGTTAGTATATAAAGGGATGGGTTTCTTTGTGACATTTCATACATACATTATTCTACTTTGTTCTTAGTCACCTTCTCACTGTCTTGCTCCATTCCTTCTCTTTCTTGCTTGCTGGTCTCATAAATAATGTTGCCTTTGCTTTTATGACATTACTTTCTCTTGCCCCCTCCCTTTAAACACTCTCTTCCTCACATAGTCCACTTTCTGCTTGGAAGAAAACATGCAGTATTTATTTGTGTTTCTGAGTCTCTCTTAATTTGTTTAACATGACAGCCACCAGCTCATCTATTTTCCTATGAACATGGTATATTTGTTTTTCAAGATCCACTGTCTTATATAGGAAAGACACCCAAGAACTGACAGACAGGATCAAATGCAAACAAAACAAAACAAAACAAAAATCCCTTCTGATATTTTTCAACTCAATTCAAATTCCAAATCCTGTTTCACGGCCCACAGTGTCAGAGCCATTCTTTACCTCTTGATTCTTATTTCTTCATATGATCATCTTTTGTTTTACTTTTAGAATTTTCTGACACACACTGAAATTGAACCTCTCTATGGATTTTTCTATTTTGGAAGGCTCCAACTACCCTATCTAAAACTTTTCTAAATTATGATGCTGTCTTTATATAACTCTATTATCTGGAGTATTCTTGTCTCTCTATTTCTTTTTATTTGAATCTTCTCCTGTAAGTGGTAAAGTTCATATGCACAGAAAAATTTAAACTACTACATACATAGAATAGTGTCTGACATAGATCTTCAGTATGTATTTGTTCAATAAATGAATGACTCTTACTGAAGACTCAGGAACATTTTCTGCTATTGTTAGATAGAAGTATGCTCCCCCAGTATACAATTATGGTATATACTTTTCTTGCTAACCATGTATATACAGTTGTTTTCAATATGATGGACCTGAAACTTATTCATCTTTCTAGAAACCTCAGTTTTATAAGTAATTTATATTTGTTTATCATCAGGCTAAGCTTTTTTTTTTAAATGGGTTGACTGTATGAGACTCCTTTGTTGAATTATGGATTGATATTCCAGCCCACTGGCTTGTGTCTGAGGCAGAGGGTTGAAGAGTCTATTTGTGAAAACTAATGAAAATGAAGGGACTCTCCTAGATCACTTTTAATTGGCTGAATCATAAGGTGAGAATCTGAATGCAAGCACACTGGTGCTTTGAAAGCCAGAGAAACACATGTCAAGTGAGAATTCTCAGAAATGGTTAGAACCTTTTTTCCATAATCCAAGGACTTACTGTAGTAAAACACCAACTTACCCTTTCTAATTGCTCTTGTTCTAGATCTAAAAGATAGCTATGATATCAGAATTCATAGGTTTGATAGTACTATATCACTTGGCAGTTTATTCTACATAGCACTTAAAATTTGTTGAATAGATGTTCTCTAGTGTATTGAAGAGTATAAGGGATATATTTTCACAATAGTCTATAAAGAGACCACAGATGAGGAGAAAGGCAAGCTATGCACTTTGCAGGAAGCAGAATTTAATTTATTGTAGGGTTCTTCTTGTGCCTTCCTTCATTTCCACGTCACATTGTCCCAATAGAATGGCTGCTTTTTACCTCTTAGCATGATTTCATTCATGATCCCAGGAAGTTTTCTTATGAGCTGCTTGCCCTCTTTTTCCCTGTTCTAATCCAGTCTGTTCTTGCTGCTGTCCTACCAGGACCTGCATCTGCAAATTCAATGACAGTGGCCTCATTCCTTCCATACCCATGGCTGGCAGGCAGCCTTGTGGTTTTTAGAGTCCACAGCACCAGCCCCTTTCTCCATTTGGGATATCAGCTCTGTTTGGGATGCCAGTCTTAATATTCCTTGCCTTAAGAGTAACTACTTCTAGCATGTGAATGCTTTAGTTAGTTAAAAGAGTTTCAAGAGAACACAACTTTTGTCTTCTGTTCTATACAAGTCTCTACTCTATTGCCCAGGAGACTTTGTGGCAGGCAGGGACTGGTCAGGTGAAATAGGTTTAATTCTTAGATAGAGGAAGTATGAATATTTAGTATTTGAGCTATGGCCACTTTATGCTGTGTGGACTGCATAATACAGGACACCTGCTTGCAGAGAGTAAAGAAAAAACAGATTTACAAAAAAGATGAGAAAGTTACAGTATACTCATCATCCATGCCTTATGCCTTAATCTTTCTGCATGCCTTTGACCTTCTTGCCATACTAAATTAGATTCTAATTACAGTTAATTCTGAAGACACATGTGCCTTCATTATGATTATGTTTTAGGCTAAAAGCATACTCGTTGTTGTTTATTTAGAAGTTTTAACAACAGCTAATCTTTTTCTAGTACTTACCCCCCCCCTTATCTTTATCCATGCCTATTATTAGTGGTTATCTTAAGCTCTTACTATGATTCTAAATATCAAAGAAGTTGCTTACAGAGAATGCAAAAAGGTAACACCCTGCAAGAAGCAAAGGGGCTTGTCAATAATTTATGGTACACATGAACTGTGCTATAGATACTTCTGCTGCCATCATATATTGCCATGTTAAGACTAAAGGGTGATACCATGATCACAGTTCTTTAAAGGCACCACCCTGTTCACTTTCCTTAAGACAGTGATTTTTCTACTAGAAGTATAAAACAATGAAGAGAGCACAAAGTCAACTGAATAAATTCTACAGTTATTCAGGTAATCATAAATTCTTCACAATGATGTAAAACACAATAGTCACTACTATCCAGCACTTTGTGGCACACCACACATTTTTATCATTTGCTAATAACCAGAGCAACCTTATAATTTTATGTCTTCATTTTGTGTTATTATCACATGTGTATCATGTTATTAGGCAGGCATTGTGTTTTAGTAGAGTCAGGACCTGAAACAAGATTTTTTCCCCTTCCTTCCTTTGTTCCTTCCTTCGTTCCTTCCTTCCTTCTTCCCTTCCTTTCTTCTTTTCTTCCCTCCTCCTTCCCCTTCTTTTTGTGGTTTTTGGGACTGACCTCATGGCCTCACACATGTTAAGCAAGCTCACTGACATTAAGCTACTAGTCTTAAAGTCTGTGACATAAAACTTCTTGATTTGAAATCTAGTTCATTTTTCATCATGCCTCTACTGAGTCATGGGTTTCATATCTTCAGAGGTAGGCATCCACTATTTGGTTAATGTGTTCTAGAGGTGATTATTACTTATCTACTATAGCTCAGGTGGGGGCCTGACCTGCAATCTGGACTTGTCTAAGAAATGATGTATTTTCTTCCTTTTTTTTTTTCCAGATCTGCTCACTTTCCCTGTTCACTTCCCACACTCACTTCCAATACTCACCAGGTGCTTTTATGATTTCCTTCAGTGAATTAACTTTTAAGTCTTACTTGGAGATAATGAAAAAATACAAAATGGAGACCGTTGTCCTTTCTTTAGAATACACACAGTTGGGGAAAGGGACAATTTTTAAGCAGATTACAAATGGTGCAGCTATATGAGAGTGACCAAAGACTTCTCCCTATTAAAGCTGACAGTTTCTTTGAGCCCTGTGGGGGCTCCAATCTTGACAAGGTCCCTGAACTCCAGCAATAATTACTTCATCTCCTTTGTGGTTTTCCCAATTGTAACTATAGGGACAATACTATGGAAGAAGATTCCTCAGGGAGACTAAGAGAAAACATCTAGAGATTG